GTAAGTAATTTTCCCCCTGACAACAACTTGAAAGGCATGAAGTATTTTATTATAATGTTAAGAACAGTTCTTGAATTTCTTGCATATTGCGAATTTTCCATTCTTGTACTTGTTATGCGAATGAAAATAAACTGCATTTTAAAAAGGGATTTTCTTTTGCCCAGCTTTCCTTTTTTGTCAGGTTCTTTCCTATTCAACTGTTAATTTCATTTTAATTCCACGAGATACGGACATATTATAAAGTTCTACCACAAGGTATTTCGGAATAACTTTCAAAATAGAGAACAGCCAACATACATTTAGGATAGCATTCAGACTGCAATCCTAAGCATAGCTATACCTTTCTATACCCTCGGACTTCAATGGACTTAGAACCATGCAACTCTGCTTAGGAATACATGGATAACATAACAATGTTTTTCTGTTTTTGCTTTTCTTTGTCCTTGTTTTCTTTATCATATTTGTTGTATGTGAATGTGTGCACATGTGTGAATCCAAACACACATATACACTGTACATCTGTGGCCATCAGTTTATCTTTTGAACCTTATTAATATTTACTTTTTATAGATTTCTCTCTACAGAACAGCATCTCTCACCCATGGCATAGCATTTGCCTCTTACCAGAACTTGGCATGTGGTTTACTCTGGTTGGCTTTAGTAATTCTACTGGCTGGTCCCTGCCAGAAAGTCCATCTGAAAAGAAAAAAGAAAACCCACTTGGTGTTGTCACATTCTAACGGAGAGTTTCCTGGGAAAAAATCAGAAGGTGCTAACACCTGACTGACCAACGGCTCAATGAAATGCTTAATTTTCAGACATAATTTGTTGTATTTATATTTTATTTATTTAAATTTATATGTAACAAACCTCCATCTGTCAGCATGGAAAGACAATGCACATACCAGAACACAAGCTAAAGATTTTTTAAGAGAGCACTCAAGAAAACAGGGTTGTGCTTTTGGCATTGGCAATCAATTATACTGTAAAAAGATGGCTTTTATAGAATGAATAACATCAAAATTATGTTTCATTTTGGTTACTGGCAAAATAGTTAGTATGCAGATGGAAACACAACTCCAGAAAAATATGCTGTGTGTTGGAGAAACCAAAATAAAACTGAAAAATCAAGCAGGAGGATTAATACACCTGGGATTTCAAGGAAGTCACGGGTAACTATTATGATCAACATAATATATACAGGAATTCATATTGTCAAATAACTTCTGTTGACACTTTTTTCTAAGTAACAAAGTATATGAATACCCCAGTTTAATTAACTCATATAAACAGAACCCACCACAACTACAGAACTACTCTATAATAAGTAACTATACATGCTTGTTACCTTCTGTGACAGACCCCTGCTGCTTCTTCATCGAGACACAGATTTTTCCTGCTAAAATTCTTAGTTCCCTTCAGGTATTGAGCTAGCCCCTAGTAGCATGATAATATTTGTGGCTTTATAAATCTGAATGTTCAACCCTGAGATAGAATCTGATTTGGCTTTTACCCATCCCAGGAACTTGTCAGTCCCCGCCTCTCCCCACCCCTGCCTGCCTGGGGCCGGGGAGGGCCTTGGCGGGGCTTCCTTGCACTCCCGCTGGCCTTGCAGGTCCACCGCCGGGCCCCTGATGTCAGGGGGTGTGGCATATGCTAATGAGTTATGTTAATGAGTTCCCCTAGCTCTTTTTCTACGAAATGACCCCTGGATGGAATTCTTTCTCGGGTTATGTTTAACACAGCTAAGACCAGGAGTCTGTAGGTGAACCTGTCTGACAGACTTTTTAGTCAGCCTCTTCAGATATCCACCCCTTTAGCTGAGCTTTTCCTTTACTGAACAGTAACTGCTGCTGAACACAAAAGGAACTCAAAACAAACTCACTCTCCCCTCAGTACACAGCTGATCTTATATTTCCCTCAGCTGGTGCTGGCCAAGCAGATAAAAGGAGCAACCTGTCACTCAAGCTCAACATTCTAGAGCAGAGTCAACTATTCACCTTCCTTCTCTACTGCATTAGGAAACAGCATTTGAAATATAGTCCGTCACACATTCATAACTAGAGCGCAATCTGCTTAGCATATTCACTTCCCTTTCAGCAGTAAATCAGTGAACTATTGTTAGCTCTTTTCATCCAAACCAGAATCAGAAACTGTGGTTTGATGTGGGTTTCTGATTCAAACTGAAAGAGAAAATACCAACCATAGTTTTAGACATCATAGCAACCTGAGTGCTATAACGACACTGAAAGGGAAGCCACATCCAAGAGAATGTGTGTAAGCTCATGACTCATTTCCAGTCCTCCAAACAGTTGCTGAATTGACCTAACACAGTAATTTGTATATGAATTTATTACTGAATGGATACTTGGACGGGAGGTAATGGATACTGGGTCCAAGACAAAGGTAATATCTTTGCTGCAATTTGGCACCCATCTGTAATTTTTTAAGAAGCCATTGGATACAGAACTCAATGTAGTCTAAATCCAACAAAGCAGACGCATACTTGCTTTGTACAACTGCTTACACCTCTTTCATTTCATCAAAGGCAGTCTAGACTCACTCAGTGGGGCAACAGCTGCTGTGTGCTGTCCCCCCCCACCTCGATGGTGGAACTCCATTGCAACTGTCAGCTGCTTTGTAAACAGCAGCCAATGGCCACAGCCAAACTGGGAGCCTTACAAGGAACATTTTATGTATTCCTTTATTCTTTCCCTTCTAAAATACAACATTGGAATAGCTATATGAATTCACAGCCTTACAAGAAAATTGAGATGTAAATACTGTCAGCAAGGGTTTTTTGCTTCACAGGATTAAAAGAATGTGAACGTTTTTGACAAACTGCACTCAGTACATGCACTGCCAACTTCAGGGATTCCTGAACAAAGCAGATTGTTTGGATTCCTTCCAATCTGGTTTCTGACCAGGTTATGGGACTGAAATGGCCTTGGTTGTCCTGGTAGATGATAGGCACTGGGAGACGGACAGGCAGGAGTGCAACTCTGTTAATTCTCCTAGACCCCTCAGCAGTGTTTGATACAGTGATCATGTTATCCTTCAGGAACGTCTTTCAGGATTGGAGGCACTGTTCTGTGGTAGTTCTAGCCTACCTTAAGGGAGGGTACGATGGATCCCTGCTGCTCCTTCTCTGTGAGGCAGATTTTCCCACCAAAACACTGTTCCCCACTCTGAGCAGCCTTTTAGTAGCATATTTGAAGTATAGTATTATAACTTTCTGCGTATAGTATTACGTATAGTAAGTATCTGCATATAGTATTATAACTTTCTGTGATAGAGAAGTTATTTAGCTTTTGCCCAGGCCAGAGATTTGGAGCCCTCTTATAAAATCCTTTAGAAACAGCACTTGACACGAAGTAAAGTTCACACAAAAAGGTTGATTTTATTGAACAGGCACAGTTGAATCAGGAATAGGGCAGGGGATGAGAGGTTGAGGGAAGTTCGGTTCTTTATACAACTCATAATATTTTGAACAGGCAACAGAGCATAACTGAAGCTTATATTCTTAGAGACTCAGTTCTTAACTGTGAGAGGTTTGTCGGTCTTGGAGATTTCTTTCAGCAACAATGGGTGCGGTCAGACGGCATGCTGAGAGCACATTAAACTGCTCCAGATCTGGATAATCGCAATCACACTTACCTCCCTTATCTCGCCTCACCGCACAGTCACGTCGCTCCCCGGCGTCTACACTACCGATGCGCGGGAGTGTGTGTCAGTTTACGCATGCACATAGGCGCCCCTCTATAGAATGGAGGAGCGAAACTACCATGGCGCATGTCAGAACCACCAGGGCGAATCAATCCAACCCCTCCAACAAAAGACTTCCCTTTAAATGTTTGACCCGAAATGGCCTCCATGAGATCCCGAACTCATCTAAATGCTAAAACAAGTTACTGTTTAAATGTCGGTTTTCTAAACGCGGTGGCGGAGCTCCGCCTATGTGCACACCGCTGACGCATAAAAGAATGGCGGGCGAAAAGCTGAAGCCTCGGGCAGCTTTCGAGCGGGGAGGGGGTTTTAAACCGGAAGTGGCTTGACACCGGAGGAGCGATCACAGAGGGGGGAAATGCGGCTTTAAATGGGAGAGCTGAGAAAACACCACTTTGGGACCTGGTAACAAAATACTCCGGATTAAAGCGGTTTTGAGCCAGAAACCAATGGCTGGGGACGGGAGGCAGATGTTGACTGTGTGATTGTGCAGATACAATCCGTTGCTGAACCATCACGACACCAGATCAAATGGCGTGTCTGAACACACAGAATGTGTCTTAATAAAGTTTCATAAAACTATTTTAGTTTCCTGGAAGTTAGTACTTTCTTCCTCTATTTGAATACTTCCCTTGTGGGATTATAATTTTCCCTTTTCCACTCTTGAAGCGTCTAAGACCATTTACCTTTTCACACAAACCAGGGGTCCCTTTTGAGTTGAACCCTCTGAGTAACTGGGTAAGAAATATCCTCCTCTTTCTAGGAGCGATCCCTTCTGTTTGGCTAGACTGGCATTTTCCAACCTCCTGACCAGCCCCCTCTGTCAAACCTAAACCTCAGTTCTGGAGACTGTGCATAAATAAAATTCAGCTAGGGCTGACACTGAGACTTTTAGTTCTGCCTTTTGAACTTTTCTTCAGTTGTGTTGGTACACAGTAAGGGCAAGGAGTCCTGTTCCTTTACTTCTCAAATGATTTTTCTGTTTCCCTCAAACCAACACAATCCTCCTGACTATTCTGCCAAGCCAAAAATCCACATGATGACTGACTCTTTCTGACAAAACTGACTAAACTTTTTTAAAACTCTCCTCAGCTGGTGCTGACCAGTCAGAGAGAAGGGGGTGCATGCAGGCAGCAGCCTGTCAATCAAAGCGCTTTACAGTGAGGCATTAACCTCTAATTTCCCAGCTCTCTGAATTTGATGCACTAAGCATCTTGGTTTGGGAGGTCAGTTCGTCACAGTGGGTTTCAGACCGTGCTGAGGGACTGATGCTCTGCCCCTTGACCTCTGGCATTCCCCAAGGCTCCATCGTGTCCCCCACCCTTTTCAACATTTATGTAAAGCTGCTGGGAGAGGTCATCCAGAGATTTGGGTTGAGTTGCCACTAATACGCAGATGACACTCGGCTCTGTCCTGTGCTACCAGCAGATCCCAGGGAGACTGTAAAAACTGTGATCAGGCGGCCCAGAGGCAGTTTTGAAACGGATGAGGGCTAACAAGCTCAAACTTACTCTTGACAAAACGGAGGCGCTACTTGTGAAAGGAAGGTTTGACCCAGGAAAGGAGTTGTCCCCTGATCTCGATGGGGTTGTATTCCCCCCTAAAGGAGCAGATTCACAGTTTGAGGGTGCTCTTGGACAGAGGAGTCCTATTGGATAAACAGGTGGCAGTGGTGGCCAGGGGTACCTTTTACCAGCTTTGGCTGGTGAGCGAGCTGCAGCCTTTCCTGGACAGAAAAAATTCTTGCCATTCTGGTGCATGCCTTGGTAACACCTAGATTAGATTACTGCAGTGCACTGTACATAGGACTGCCCTTGAAGACTGTCTGGAGCTGCAGTTGGTACAGCATACTGTGAACAGAGTGTTGACTGAAGTGGGCTGTAGGGACCATACCACTCCAGTCTTGTTCCACCTAAACAGTCTTCCAATTTGCTTCCAGGCTCTATTCAAGGTGCTGGCATTGATCTTTC